GGTACCGGTACTCAGACTGCGGAAGGGTGCAAAGGGTGTACGGTAAGGGTGTAGCCGTGCACCCGCCGCTCGTGACTGCTGTGTATGCTCCCCGTCCCTTCTTTGGCATGTTCGCGCCACCATATGAAGGGTTGCGTTGAAAGGGATTATCCCGCTCCCGTCAAGTCAAATTAATCTTTGATGTCACGAGTAGCGGTACGGCACCCGTGGGCGGAGTCCAGCAGCTACAGGCATAGTCTTGAGTAGCCGCTTCAAGAGTGATTCGTGATTCATATCAGCGCCGGCAGCGTGTGTACCGTATGTGTATGTTTACCGGTGCACCAGAGCACGATGTACCGACCTCCAGTCAAGAGTCACGAGAAGAGGTCGCTAGCGCCGCTCTTTGGTGCACTTTGAATGCTAACTTGAGCGTCGCATTCATGAAGGCAGCGCCTGGCGCCTGGCGCCTGCTGCGCGTCGTTGTGTCCGTGCATGAACTCACAAGCTGATGGCCGATGGCCTCTTTCGAAAAATGTAAGCTGCAGCGTGGGGCAGCCAGCCAGCCAGCCAGCCAGCAGCTCGCCATGCAGCACATTCAATTTGCCCACACTACCTACACAGCGAGACGCTTGACTGCATGGTGACTGTGACTGTTCATGTGCGCTCACAAAAGGTACGCAAGACTACTGTTCTACTCTACTCCATCGTGACTTTGAATATGTTCAACGTGCTCGCCTCGTCGGAGTTCTTGAGTGCCTGGCCTGCATTCCAGCTGTCCGCCATATCCCGCCTCGCACGTTTTGCATGGCATGGCACGGCACGCGATGGATGGATGACCTCAGCACCTTAGCACACTTGCCATGGCACCGAAGTCGCCCGCTCGTCCGTCCCGCCGCTCCTTCGAAATCCGGATTTCGGCTGGGAACACTCACACTGGCAAATTGCACGACCGCCATATGCCATGACTTGATCACTCAAATTTCGCATTCACACGCGTATTCGGGGACGAAGGTGGGTCGGCTTGACTTGTCAGCATGCGCGTACACGGTACCGGTACCCGCTACATGAATGTTGACTTGTTGACCGAGCTGTCTGAGCCGCTGCATGCCTTGCACTCACGACTCGTGACTGATGATCAAGTCGCAACGAGGGAGGGACCTTTGCTGCTCTCGCGCGCGCATGGATCAGTCGAGTCAAATCAAACGCGACCCGTGTGTGTGACTGTTAGGCAGCTGCTACATGCCTACAGTACAGTACATGCCTTTCAAGAGCCTCGCGACTCACCGCTGCTGACGTTACAAGTAATGTATGCACTCATCGGCCCGCCGGTCAACATATGCGCTATAGTGATCTGGCAGATGGGAGTGTAGACACAGACCTCATGCCACCTCGTATGGACGCACTCGTGACTGCCGACGGCTAAGCAGTCTGAGGTGTGAGTGTGTCTCTCTCCATCTCAAATAGACACCAGATGGACCAATTTCTTGCGTTAGTCTCTTGCGCGCTTACATGTACCGCGCTTCTCGAATTGGAAGTGGACTTGCGGCAAGCCGATCTCAGTGCCAGCTAGACTCGTGACTAGAGGCAGATTGATCATCACGTCCATGTGGCATTCACTCACCAGTCAATTGTGTTTGTGTGACACCGAGGCATCGTGCACAGCAACCATGCATGGCCAGCGCAAACGCATGCTCCCTCCGTTCGACAGAGCAGCAATCATCGCAAGGGCATCTTCTACGTATGTAGATGTTCCAAGCTTCGCTTGCAGGTTTTATCTTGGATATGGACCTTTTGACTTGCCTCCCATCTCGCAGTCGACCCTGCAGCGGACCAATCTCCGTGTCGCCTTTACTACTCGCTTGCTGGTACTGTAGCATGCGTATGCAGCATTCACGTTGCCTTTCTCCATTTTATGAATGCCTTCTGATCACCCCACCGCTTCATGCCTGATTGAACGTGACGATATCGGATGATCGGGCACTCAGACTTGCGATGATGACTGAATGACAAGTGGAAAAAGGAGCACGCGATGATCGTCGTCCACACCCTCACTCTCTTCGTGGTGCTCGCTCGCGCGACACTTTTGCAAGCCAGCCGTGCCAGATCCGCTTTCGCCAAGAACGAGCTTTATCGATCTGAGTCCGTACCGGAATGTCGACGCGACGGCCTTTCGGATCTTTTCTCGCACTGTGACTTACCCGAGCATACTACTACACGGCTACGCTATCTGTACATTGACTCAATAACTCTTCTGTACCATAGCGCGTCGTGTGTCTTCCGAGCGCTTCATGCCGAAACGAAATATACGATGATGGATTTGTCACAATGGGTGGAACGAAGTCGCAGCAAGATCGGGGCTTTCTGCACGCTGATGGGCCACCGTGGCACGCACGCCTGCATTTTGTGGGTTCGCGGTCACCCGCAATTCGGACTCACGACTGGCATGCCCAGAGGCTGGCTGAACTTTGACTGTGACTGTTGTGACAGCAAAGTAGGGCATCGCGGGCAGAGAAGAGCTGCTGCCTACACGAAGGAAGCCTTTTGCGGAGTTTGGCAAGCGCTCAAGTCAACTACTGTACGTGTCGCGCGCGTGCGTGAACACGACCACATGCATCCGCACATCCATCCGTGATCGCAGCATACATCTCCATCTGGTGCGGTCACTCTATCAAAATTTGTCTACCAGCGCATGAGGAGTCAGGAGTCAGGAGTCAGGTATCAGCGATCGGCGTCCAATATGGAGGGAGCGTTCAGTAAGAAGCAGGAAGCTCGATGGAAACGTGGCGGATGGGTTGGAAGCAGAAAGCCCGAGTCGTACCGAGGAGATGCCGTGTCAAAATACACTCGTGCCAGTACGAGAAGCTCTGCCATTGGCAAGACGGACGCTTTATGAATCTGCACCGAACAGTGATAGTGTCTGCACATCAGCTAGAGCGGGAATGCCAGCTGGATGAGACTCGCGAGTCTTCCATGGAGATTGGTCGTGCTTCTGCCCAATGTCGGTAATCGTCGGGCGCCTATCGAGCGATGAATGCGGACCGTTTGCACGTACGTCGCTCGATGGAGCACCGCTATGGACCCATAAACTGGCAATAGTCTTGACGTCTCGAGTCTTTGCGAAGTGAGAGAACAACGACTTCCACTTGCGCGCGTCTCAAGTAGAACAGACCGCAGCACACTTCCGTCCGAAATGCTCGACCTAGCGCCGTGGCGGCGCCATCCTCTGCGAAAGAGAGCCGCTGACTCACGTTCTCCTGGCGCTGACACACGGTCAGAAATCAATAGATTGCTATTCTGTCTCGGCTATGCATCGGCTACCTTTGCGGTCTCTCCACCCTTGCGAGGCTCTCTAGCCTCATCCGGGCTGCACGAACACTTGGATCAGGCGCAGCCAAAGCGGTCTTGCAATCCGATGAGACGGACACAGCACGCAAAGAGGATGGAGTCGGTCACCCCAGATTGCAAACGTCACACGCACCATCAAGAGCGCACATGAACGTGTCAATTACTTTACACGACGCGGGCCGTCGCGCAACTCGATGCACGGAACGCCTTGTTGCACTTCTAAATCAAATCCAAGAATGAATACCGCGGGTCCCTGACTCCTGCAGCTCGATGCTGGCTGGTAATTGATGGTGCTTTGGCGCCCGCGCTTCGACCAACCCGCGCCAGCTTTCGCAGCCTTCTCCTCTCGGTACATCAGACGCTTCGCAACGAGCTCGTTGCGACGTCGCTCGTGGCTCGTCGGCTGCGGCGCATGTTTTGCTTTGCTTGATGCGACCAGCAACAGACGTTGGCCGTCATTTCTGTCCCAGCAACACCATCCTCGCGGCAGATACTTTGTACGACGTCTGTTCGCTTGATGTGACGACCGTTGCTTCATCACTGACCGCACTAGAGCAACAAAGTTCGCGTTCGCTCCTAATCACTTCGACAGTCAGGTGTCCCCCTTGGCAATGTCGACAGAGTCGGATGGTGCTCCATCAGCTTCTTCTGGAAGCCAGATGCTCACGCCACTGGACGCTGAGCGCCATCAGCAGACGCAGCATTCGACCGGCGCTCAGCGAGGCGGTTATGCCCCTGTCAATCTCGACTCTCCCGCCGCTGACGCCCAGTGGAGAGGGGCGCCCATTGGCTCGGATGGCAGTCCTACAGCTGGTGCAACCAACTTGACCGGTGTTCCAGGTGGGAAAAGACCTGAGGAGGGGCATCAAGCCGTCAATTTGGGGCCCGCCCATGCGAGACAGGTCGCACCCCATCAGCAGCAGAACGTCATGCAAAGGCGAAGACACAGTGGGAGCGTCAATATTTGCGATGGTGCACAGCAACCAAGACGAGATTCGGCATCGAGAGGTTCAGCGCAGCGGTCAGCAAGCGGTCAAATCAATGCATCGCAACAGGTGAGTTGAGAGACTTTCAAGCTTTCGTTTTTTGCCTTTTTGCTCATTGCTCATATGGTCGTGCGCTACGCAGCGCTCAATGCCTCGCGGTGGCCCTGCGCCCATGCCACCACAGAAAAGGTGGGACAATCGTCAGCCCTCGGCGCAGCAATCATCTGCTCCTTATCTGACAGTCAACGGTGCAGCCGTGCTCCATGACGGGTTCCGATCAGCCGAACTTGGAGCAGGCCACAACAGCTCTTCTCGTGATGGCACGAGCAGCTCTGCCAACAACTCGGCCGGTCGAGGATTGGAAGGCAAGCGTATCAGCTCCATGTCCCAGGCCGCTGCAAGCACCTCTTGGTCGCATGGAACGTCGGTTACGATGGACTGGAACAACGAACATGATCCTGGTAGATGGCACGTCGATGGCAAAGAGGCCGACGACTACCTGCACGACCCTGACCAGTCTTTAGGACGAAGGTGAGCACTGTCCACTCGCGCTGCGACTTGTGCGCCAAGACTTGTGTGCTGAGGAGTCTCGCTGCTCTGCCGCTCCACAGCTGCGTGCCAGCGCCTTTCAGATCGGCGAGGACTTTTTGCAACTTTATAACTCTGCTCTGTCTCATCTTTGGCATCATGAGCCTCTTTCTGGGCTACCCTCTCCTAGACTACTTCTACGGATTTCACCCTGGTAAGCACGGAGGATTCAATCTAGGAGGCACGAATGCGAGTGGTCAGATTCCCAGCTACAAGAGTCTGGTCAGTTGCAGCGCTCAGAGCGAAGGGGAGAATGCGAGCACGCGACATTCACGCTTAGTGTGGTGTATTCTTCTTGGTCTAGGGCATCCGCGAAGGGCTCATTGACCCAGACACAGATATGAAGCGACACGGGCAGATCCAAGGCTCGGATGGCAACATGCTCAAGCTCGTCTTTTCAGACGAATTCAATGTCGACGGCAGAAGTTTCTACCCTGGCGACGATCCATTTTGGGAAGCCTTGGATCTGCATCCTGTGAGTGCTTCGCATTCGCACAATGCAAGATGCTTCGACTTCGGTGGCTGACCATGAAGGAGAGGGTGCTGGCAGTGGGGAACAGGTGACTTTCAATGGTACGATCCCTCTGCCGTGACCACGCGGGACGGAGCTCTGCAAATCACTGCAACCGAGTGAGCATCATTGCAAACATGGGCCAGGCGATTCATCGTCTTTGCTCAGCACCGTCTGTCCCATTTGCAGAATTGAGAACCATAACCTCAACTTTAGAAGCGGAGAAATACAAAGCTGGAACAAGGTGAGCTTGGATGTTGCGAATTTTGTTGCCGTTGCGCCAACGCCGATGTCTTATGAACTGGATTTTGTACAGTTGTGCTATCAAGGCGGCCTTCTCGAAGTTGGGGTCCGACTTCCTGGGTCGCCTCAGGTGTCCGGTTGGTGGCCTGCGTGAGTGCTTCGGCATGGAGCTAGAGCTATAGCGAAAGGCTCAAAGGCTGGATCCTTGCGCGCATTGCCCCCTCAAGCGTTTGGACCATGGGCAACTTGGGTATGTGAAGCCAGCTGCGGTTCGTACCGACCCTGTCGTAAGCGCAAGCTGACGCAAAATTGCAACACGGCCATAGGAAGAGCGAATTACGGTACGTCGCTGCATTGGTCTTATCCTGCAAGCCGTTCGCTGCAACCAGAATCTTATCTTCCTTGTTGTCCCTCGACCAGGCGCAACGACGGAAGGCCTCTGGCCCTACGCGTATAATGAGTGCGACAGAGGGGCTCTGATCAATCAGACAGATGCAGATGGTCTGGGCCCAACAGCCGCTTTGGAATCAGGCGCGGAAACGGACTTTAACAAAATCTACAAGACCAAGAGCCTGAGCTATCTACCAGGCATGCGTCTTGGTCGCTGTACCTGCGAAGGGGAAGATCATCCTGGACCTGAGCACCCCGACGGAGGCTGGGTGGCTCGATCGGCCCCTGAGATCGATCTGTACGAGGCTCAGGTCGGGTGGCACCCCAAACGAGGGGAATTGAGTCTCAGTGGACAGTTCGCCCCCTTCAATGCCGGTTATTGGCTCGGCAATGTGTCCAATGTGGACTTTATTCCCGGCGACTTTGTTTTGAGCTCATACAGGGGGTGAGTTGAGCACATGGCTGCTTGCGACGGGAAGGTGATGCAGTCGAAAAAAGGACTGCGAGTATGGCGGAGATGCTGAAGGGTCGCAAATCAGACCTGTGACTTGCTGCGCAGCATGCAGTTGGCATGATCGTTCAGACACGCTCCTGCTTACTGCTATTCATCCTTCGTTCCAAACTTCAACTTCAGGAACATCTTCCAGCAAGCAGCCTCTGGCATCTCACCTGCCAATCAGGACGCCTATGAGCTTACGGGTGGGACCTACAGCCGTGTCAGCGTCGAGTACAAACCTGGTTACGAATCCGATGGAGCTTTCATAGAATGGAAGATTGATGGCCATCTCGGATGGAGGATGAACGCTGCGGCAGTGGGTCCAGATGAACGAGCTGGGATCGCTGCTAGGAATATTGCTGAAGAGCCTCAGTACATTGTGAGCTGGGCAATATGACGCGTAGTCTGCGCGACAGGGCCAATCACTAACGCGCCGCCTCGACAGATCATGAACTTGGCTCTCTCGAAAGGTTTTGGTGTGATTGAGTTCGACAAGATCAAATTTCCTGCAACTATGAGCATTGGTGAGTTGCTCGAGTCCACACATCGTAGGGAGCCAGTGTCTGAGAATATCTCTGATGCTCTACAAACTTTGTCTGCAGACTACGTGCGTCTGTACCAGGATCCCAAGAACATCAGGGTCGGCTGCGACCCTAAAGACCATCCTACCAAGGATTACATCGAACGGCACATGGAAGCTTATACCAACGCGAATTTGACGACGTGGGGAAACACGCGCAGTGTAGGTGGATACGGAGCAAATTGGCCGCGAAACAAGCTGTACGACGGAGGAAAGGGCTGCGAGGCTGAGCCGAGAAATTACCCTGGAAACTTGCGGACTGGACCGGCTGCGCACAGTAGCGATGGCGGCGACTTGCCACCGGCGATCAACGGCCAGCAGGTTGCCGGACCTATCACTAATCCTGTCGGACCGACGCATGCGGGAGCCGCTGGGCCTGACCCTGACGTCGACACAGGGACTACGCCCGTAGCAGCACCCGGTCCAGCGACGGTGACGGACGACGAGGACGATGAGACCTAGCGCACGAATTCGCCAAATGCTTTCTTTTCACCTCTTCTCGAGGTTGATCTCAGGACCAATGGTGATCCTCGCTGTTGTTTATGTCGCTTGACTTATTTGTACTCTCTTCCTCAATTAATGTGTGTGTAGCAGTCATGACGTGCGACTGGCTCTATCCGGCAGACCAACTTTGCGGCGACGTCTGTGTCACCATGGCCACTACCACATGCAGTCATCCTGTTGACCGCGAGTGCGCTGACACCACGATACAAGCCATCTACCGCCCCGCATTTCTCTCATCACATCATGCATTGGTAGACTACAGAGGATCGTCCTATGAGCGTCTACATGAGAAGTGTTCATGCATCAAGGGCCTTGTCGACGGCTTGTTTGGTGTGCATCCTTGACGCTTGAGCCTCGTCGGCTCTGACGCGGAAGCACGAGCCATCCGCAGCGCACCCCTGCGCCTGCTTGCCACTCTGGCTGATATCACTGACGATTGGCTTGGTCAGGCCCGCCTTTTGGCGCGCTGCGCTATCGATGGATTCGGGGGCTTCGTGCGTCATTGCGCGTCTAGCGTTCTGGTTCTGAAGCGGCAATGGCTGACCCGTGAAGCCGTGAGCTTCATACCACTCCTTGTCGTGCACGACTGGTCCGTGCAAGGGCGAGGGCTCGCGGGGAAGAATAGGCCTATCCTTTGGCAGCTGCACCGTGGTGCCAAAGGTTACGTGCTGACCAGGAATGGCCGCGTACCTTCTTGCAATGTCTTCATTCTCTTCAGAGTCGTCTGGTCCGCCGTCGTCCTCAGACTCTGAGCGTGCGCCGAAAGACTGAGGCCTGTGACCACCAAAGCCACCTGGCCCGCCTGGGCCACCAAAGCCGTGACCGCCTGGCGGACCACCATGGCCGCCGTGAGGACCAAGCGGGTCTCTAGCAGCCAGAACATCCTCGTCCTTGTCCGAACGAGGGCCAAAACCTTGAGGGCCTCGACCGCCACCAAAACCACCAGGGCCACCATGACCACCCGGTCCGCCTGGTCCACCAAAGCCGTGACCGCCTGGCGGGCCGCCATGACCACCATGAGGACCGAGCGGGTCTCTAGCCGCCAGAACATCCTCGTCGTTTTGAGAGCGAGCTCCGAAGGATGGAGGGCCGTGTCCATCGCCACGGCCTCCACCAAAGCCTCCATGGCCGCCAGCTCCTCCGGGTCCGCCAAATCCTCCTGGACCGCCGGGGCCGCCATGAGGGCCACCGTGAGGGCCGAGTGGGTCTCTTGCAGCGAGCGTCTCTTCGACGTCGTCAGTGATGGTGCGAGCTCCGAAGGATGGGGGACCACGTCCACCGCCACGACCGCCTTCGAAACCTCCTCGACCACCTGGTCCGCCGGGACCACCAAAGCCTCCACGACCGCCGAAGCCGCCGGGACTACCAGGTCCACCATGGCCGCCTGGTGGGCCACCGGGACCACCGTGAGGTCCCAGAGGGTCTCTGGCAGCCAACGATCGTCCGCCGTATCGACCTCCAGCGAAAGAAGGACCACCTCTACCCCTTCCTCCTCCGAAGCCGCCTCTTCCAGGTCCACCGAAGCCACCACGTGGCCCGGGACCTTGACGACGTTCAGCGGATCTTCCGAATACAGCTTCAAGTTCTTCCTGCTCCAATTCCCTTTGAGACATTTGTGGCTGCACGCCATTGGCGAGAGGAGATGGAAGAGGCTTGCCGTCTTGCTTTATGGATGAGATCATCTCTGGTGAGAGGCCGATGCGACGGTGCATCTCTTCTTGCTCCCCCTCGCGACGAAGAATGTGCATCGTTCCAGGAGCCGAGGTTGGAAGAGACTTGCCTTCTTCCTGCATTTGTCTTTGCATCTCTGGTGTGATGACGATCCGACGGGTAAGGTCGGCTTCCACATCTCGTTCACGGTTGATGACTACGGGACCGTGACCCATTGGCAAAGGCTTGATATTGCCGTCACCGTCTGGCTGGCCCCATGCCAAGTCTGGAAGTTGACCGTCGCGAGGGGCACGTCGACCATTTAGCACCAAAGGACCGTTGGTGAATTGTAGAGGTGTGATGTTGCCTTTCTGTACCTGGCCAATAGCGGGATCTATAGGTGGAAGTTGACCGTCGCGAGGAAGAGGAGCGCCGGCGGTGAAAGAGGAAGCGGCCAACGCAGCAGCGATGAATGCTGAGGTGAGCTTGATGTGAACCATGGCGCAGTGAATCTATGTATGCGTGAGGGGGTAGACGAGAGTGCAAATTGGGTGCTGATCCAGTCAACGAGAGTGCGAAGGAATAGGCGGGAGAAAGTGCGATGATGATATCCTACGACCGGCGCAGGATTGTGGGGGAGGAGGAAAGGTTGTTTGTTTGGCGAGTCGCAAGGAGAAAGGAGGAAGAGGAATGGATGACTGGGGGTGGCTATACTTATAGTTTTGGCAGCCCAGCGCGAGCATCCAGCGCTCCCCGCCATACCTACCATCCCCCTCCCCCTCGACCGGCGGCATGAAGGCTCATCGCAAGCTCAGCAGGTCATGACGCAGCCCGATGCCAGTCTCCGAAATCCTTTGCATAAATGCACGCCATTCTTGCGCAAGCTACTGCGGCGGCAGCGGGCATCCACCTCAAGCTCAAGGAGGCCAAAATGCGCGCGCAAGCATCCAGGCGTAGTCGGCGTGCAGAACTACGCCCGGCTGCATGAGACTTTTGCACCGCTGATGACGCTGCTGCCGCACTCAGACTCGCACTCACACTGCTTTAGCGGTACGGTGCCGGTCCATGGCGCTGCTGGTCATCGAGCCATCCGCTCCAGACAAGTCGCTCCACAAACTTGTACATTCGCCGTGCCCCCATGCCATCCGGCCAAACGTCCCGCTCGGAAGTCATGAGCGCATGGTGTAGCACAGCAGTCAGAAGCCCGCAACCTCTTTGTCATTATGGCAAGCGAAAGCTTGCGGACACGAAGCCGATCGACGGCCACGTCCATTTCGCTAGCTGTACCTGCTGCAGTCGTGCGTGACGAGAGCATATACGCATGCCGGTGGTCCAAGCTCTACTGGGCAAGCATCTCGAGCCAATCTTGAGAGGGTCTGCATGACAAGTGTGAGTAGTGGCAGTGTGGAAAAAGAGTCCGAATTTGTGACGGCCGGGTTCATATCATGTTGGCCCTTCAACGCCACATGCAAGGTCCTAGCCGCTCAAGCCCTACTGCGCCCGATCTCTAATTGCCGAAAAAGGCATGCATCTATTCTTGTCCACCCAACCTGATCCCACGCACGTTTAATCGTCAGTGTTTGGCTCGCATCGCCTCGGTCGAGGGGCGAATCAAGAATGCACATCCTCGACTCGCGAACTAGCTTCGAGTCCAGGTATGACGTGATCGAGCGTGACGAGTGCGTGTCAACTGATGACACTAATCATTCGCGAGATAGCTTTTGCCAGGCAGCTTTGAGTACAGATAAAGGCGCAGCGCAAGCACTACTTCGTCCAGTTTACGAGTCGACATGAAGCTCGGCTCGGGTCAGGCACTATTGATTCGCAGCGTGTAAGCAGGATTAGCGCGAAAGAAGGGGCGCCGACGTGCGGCCCTCCCCCCCCCC